GCCTGGTGCTGGGCCTGGTGCTGGGCCTGGTGCTGGGCCTGCTGGTAGGCGTTGGAGTTGTGTGGTATCGTCTGGTACGACCCCTGCGGTGCGCCTTGAGGGGGGCCCTGCGGCCCCTGCGGCCCCTGCGGCCCCTGCGGCACAGGTTGGTAAGGGCCGTGCGGCACGGGCTGGTAGGGACTCTGCTGGTTGTACTGGGGGTTCTGCTGCGGCTGAGGCACGGGCTGGTAAGGGCTGGCTTGGTACTGCTGCGGGGGCGGCTGGTATTGCGGGGGTGGTTGGTAGACGGGGCTGTAGGGCCCAGGGCCGGGCTTAGCCCCAGCACCGGGCGCGGGGCCCGGCGGCGGCCCCGGCCGCTGCTGCGGGTAGGCGGGGCTGGTTGCCGTCTTCGACGGAGCGCCGCTGGTCGCCGGCCCGTTGGGGTGGCCGTTCGGAAGGCCGTTGGGGTGGCTGTTCGGAAGGCCGTTGGAGTTACCGTTTGGCAGGCCGTTGGGGTGGCCGTTGGGGTGGCCGTTGGGGTGGCCATTTGGCAGGCCGTTGGGGTGGCCATTTGGCAGGCCGTTGGGATGACCATTTGGCAGGCCGTTGGGATGACCATTTGGCAGGCCGTTGGGGTGGCCGTTCGGGTGGCCATTCGGGAACCCGAAAGGCTGTCCCTTTGCAGGACCATTCGGTTGTCCGTTTGGCAGGCCGTTGGGGTGACCGTTGGGCAGACTGTGGTAGTACCCGGCTGGTCCGCTCTGGCCTGGCCCGGGGCTGGGGCCCTGCGACGGCCTGCCGTTCATGCTCGGCTGGCTGGCGTACATCTTCTGCTGGGTGGGGTGCGACGGCGCGGTGTGGTAGGCGGGCGCCGCCTGGTACACGCCCTGTGGCCTGGGCTGGCCCTGGCTCTGCGGGCTGGGCGACGGTGACGGGTGGCCCTGAGGCGCGCTCTGGGACGCGGACTGGGGCGACGGCGGCTGGTATCCCTGGGGGGCACCCTGGGGGTAGCTTTGCGGGCCCTGAGGTGCCGGGTAGCCCTGTAACTGCTTGGGGGGTCCTTGCTGGCTTGCATTGTGCGGCAAGGGAGAAGGGCTGGGCTGGCTGGGCTGCGCCTGCTGTCGCTGCTGCTGTTGCTGCTGCTGTTGCTGCTGCTGTTGTTGCCGCTGCAGCATCTGCTGCTGGTGCTGCTGCTGCAGCCGCTGCAGCTCCAGCTGCTCGGCGCGCTCGATGTCCTGCTTGGTCTGCACCGAGTCGGCGATGGGCGCCTCGTCCTTGAGACTCCTGATCTCCCTCTGCAGCGGGGCAGAGCAGGCGGAGTCCTTGTCCCTCTTGAAGGCGCTGCCGATGGCTCCGCGCAGCACCCGCTCCAGGATGGGGTTGGGGATGTAGCCGTCCGTCTCGTCGTCGTCGGCCGTCGCCACCAGGACGACCTGGTCGCAGAACGTCACGTTCTTCTTTTTCTTCTTGCCGTCCAGGCGGGCGTCGCCCAGCCCGACGGAGCGGAGGCTGGTGCTGGACCGAGATTTGGTCAGGATGCTGGTCGTCTCCTGCTCGGCCGGCGGCACGTACTCCTCGCGGGGCTTGATGGAGAGCACGCCCGTGTCGTAGATGAGGTCCTCCCGGAGGCTGTAGCCCGAGTAGTTCGACATGTCGTTGGCAGCGTTTGGCTCGGCGGCCGTCGGCGCCGTTGTCGCCTGCTGTTGGTACGGGGTGGGCGACTGGGGTTGCGCCTGCTGAGGCGGCTGCACCGTGATTTGTTCAAATTGCGATGCCAAATCGCGCACCTTGTTGGCGTTGTTGTTGTTGGTGGTAGTGTTGTTGGTGTTGGCACTCTTGTCGGCCGGCACGATGTCGTCCAGGCCGGACAGCGAGGAGGTCGAGTTGACCCGCGACCTGTTGGGGGCGGGCTGGGCGGGGGCGGCTGCGGGGGTTGGCACGGGGCTGGGCGTGTTCTGCGCGCGCTTCATCTTGAGCGTGGCCTGCAGCTCCCGCAGCCAGGTGTCGCCGCTGCCGCAGCTGCCCCTCCTGACGGCCGCCTCCACCTCGGCGGCGCCGCGGCCCTCGGCGAGCATCTCCTGCCGCTTCTGCTGCAGCGCGGCGAGCAGGCCTCCCGGGGACGCGGCGGACGACGTCGTGGACTCGGTCGCCGATGTCTCGAGCTGCGAGAGGTCCTGGAGGGACGGCGGCGGTGGGAACTCGTCGCTGGGCTGCCGCGAGTGGCAGACAGAGCCGGCGGGGCTGTGCATGATGGGGTAGGGCGGCAGGTCGGCGGGCTCGCACTCGGGCTGCGGCACCGTGGCGTCCACCGCGGCCGCCTCGGGCTGCTCGGGGAACTTGAAGAAGGAGGGCTCCTGGTGCACCTGCGCCCGCGTTACGAGCGTCGTGCTGCCTTGGTCTGGGCTCTGCGCCAGCTCGCGCTCCCGCTCGCGCTCGACCTCCGCGTTGAGCAGGAAGCCGCCGTTGGCGTACTGCGCGGGCTCGTAGCCCATGGTGCTGGCGGACGGCCTGAAGGCCGGGTGGAAGGGCGCGGGGCCGGGTGCAGGGCCGGAGGGCTCCTGCGGTAGCGGCGCGGGAGGGCGGCCGGCGCCCTGGCCGGTGAGCTGCGAGGTGGTGCGCAGCGGCGGCGGCGGCGGCACCTTGGCCGCCGTCAGGGCCTTGCCCGTGCCAGCGGCGCTGCCGTGGAAGCTCTTGCGCATGAGGCGGCTCCTCTCCAGGTTGGGGTTGCCGCTGGTGGCGCCGCTGTACTCCAGGTGGCCCTCGGAAAGGTAGCCGGAGCCGGACATGAGCGCCGACTCGTCCAGGCTCACCTTGGCGGGCTTGGCCGGCTTGGGGGCGGCCGCGAGTGGCGGCGCCGAGTCTTCGCCGTCGCGCAGGTCGGGCATGCTCCTGTTCTTGCGCCGGATCAGCCCGCCCATGAGCAGCTTCCGCCTGATCTTGTGCTGCTTCTTCTTGTCGTCCTTGCTCTCCTTGTCCTTCTTGTCCTTGGCGTCCTTGGCCTCCTTGGGCGTGAGCAGCGGCATGGGGTGCTTGGAGCGCTCCTCGCTCCGGGCGCGCTTCTCGCGGCCGGCGGCGGCCTGGTTGTCCTGGCGCCGGCCGCCGGGCGCGGCCGAGCGCGGCGACCTGCCCGGCCGGTCGTACAGGTACTCCTCGTCCTCGAAGACGCGCGGCGCCTGCTGCGGCTGCTTCTGCTTGGGGCTCGGGCTCGACGCGATGGCCGTCACCTTGGCGCCCTTGCTCTTGGGCAGCGTGCCGTACAGCTGGATGGTCTTGCTGGCGGGCTTGTCGGCCGGCGGCGGCTGCTGCTGCTGCTGGGGCGGCTGCTGCGGCGCCACGAGCAGCTCGCGGCTGTTCTGCCGGCTGTGGCTGTACGACCCGTCCTTGCTGCCCTGGCGGCTGTGGCTGCCGCTGGCCGTCTTGTCGCGGCTGTTCTGCCGGCTGTGGTTGCCGCGCGGCGCCGCCACCTGCGTCTCCTGCTCGATGCGGCGGTGCAGGCTGCGGACGCGCATCACGCACGTGTTGTGCTTGATCCTGGCGGCGCTCAGCGTGTGCGGGTTGTGGTACGGCGCGTCCATGGCGCGGCGCGCCTTGCCCACGGCCGCCTGGCACAGCACCAGCGCCGTCGTCAGGTCGTGGGCCTCCTCCGTGGCGCGCGACTTGTCGAGCAGCTGGTCCGCCTCGCGGCACAGCTTCTCGCAGTCGTCGCCGCTGAGCACGCCGCCGTCCTGGCCGGCGAGGCCCTGCTGTTGGCCGGGCGACGGAGAGTGCCCCTCCGGGATCTGGGCCAGCTGCAAAAGGAGGACGGGGTGGTTAGCGTAAAGTTTCTCCTTTGAGAGACAAATTGAAAAGAAAGGCTTATATGGTCAAATTTCAACAAAACTTTCTCATATAGTTCACAAAATTTCAAATTTCCAATAAAATTGTTCACGTCTATGTTGATGGGACACTTACCTGAAGGTTATGCCGGAGCCCGAGCTGGAGGGGCAGGCTGTCTGTGGAGGACAGCGAGTACGAGTCGTAGCCCGGGTCGCAGGGCCCGCCGCTGCCGCAGCCGCTGCTGGACGAGCTGAGCTCGCCCGGCTTGATGGCGGTCGGGCTGCGCGGGACGCCGCCCGGGTGCGCGCCCACGCTGTGGGGCCGCATCTTGCCCACCAGGTACAGGTAGGGGTTCTCCATGGAGGTGGAGGACGACGACGAGGCGCTGTTGCGGTCGCCGCTCCAGTTGCCCGAGTCCCTGCGCCGGGGGATGTTGAGGTGGTCGGGCACGTTGGGCACGCCGTCGCGGCCGTCGCGGTCCGCGCCGCCCGAGCTGCTCGTCGAGTCGTGGCGCTTGAGCGACAGGTTGCGGGTCTGCTCCAGGACCAGGTCGGCGGTGCCGCCGTTGCGCGTCAGCGAGTTGTAGCCCATGGAGCGCATGGCGAGCGCCTGCTCCTGCATTGCCGCCAGCTGCTCCATGGTGCCGGCGCTCTGCGGCGCGCACGGCCCGCCCTGGTGCTGCTGGTAGTTGAGCACGCTCTCCACGGCGCGCCGGCTGATGTAGCCCGGCTCCGTGCCGTCCACGCAGTCGCCCGTCATCTGCTGCTGTTGCTGCTGTTGCTGCTGCTTCTGCGCGAAGATGATGGCCTGCATGTCGCTCAGGTTCTGGTACTCGTTGGGCTGCGAGTTGGGCGTGACGGCGCGTCGCATGCCGTTGGGCAGGCCGTTGGGCAGGCCGTTGGGGAGGCCGTTGGGGAGGCCGAGGCCGCCCGACTTGTCCAACATGGTGGGGGTCATGGACCGGCGGAACATCTGCGCGGCCGCGCTGTCCGTGCGCGACCCGGGCAGCGACAGGTTCCAGGTGGGCGAGGTGGGCGACACGCCCATGGGCACCGGGGTGATGGTCTTGGGCGCGCCCTCGGCGCTGACGGGCCCGCCGTTGGGCGCCGCGTACAGCAGCAGCAGCGGCTGGTAGCGGCCGCGCCGGCACTTCTCCACCACCTGCTCCCAGCGCGGGCCCACCTCGCGCACCGTCGCGTCGTCGAAGTAGATCCACACGCGCAGCTTGGTGTGGAAGAAGAAGGTCGAGTAGTGCTTGCCGTAGTACGTGACGACGCCGACGAGCGCGTGCTGCGTGGCCGCGGCCCAGCGCGCGTCCACCACGCTGTGGAACACGTCGGCCAGCCGCAGGGACGTGCCCACCGTCGCGAACACCGACATGATGTGCTCCAGGGTGGGCCGCTCCGAGTCCCAGACCACGCCGACCGACACGATCTCGGGCCGGTTCATGAGCGTCCGGCAGATCTGGATCTTGGCGCCGCACGCCGACTGCAAAGGCGGAGGGGAAACATTATCACACCGCTCACCAATAGACATCCTTAAAAAATGCGCTCTCAATTATAGTGAACTCACCGGACAGTCTCTGATGTCGCCCATGCCGCCGGCTTTGTTGAGCAGCTGGCCGAACAGGTCCGGGTGGCTGGGGGTGGCGCTCTGGCGTGCCTGAGAGGTGAGCGCTGAGGCCGACACATAGTGCACCATCTGCAACAAGCGAACGGCAAAAGGGACGACTTGAGATGGATGCCTAGATGGGGTCGAGCGCGATACCAGAGAGAGACCAGGCCACATGCCACAGGCGTGGCGACTGCATTCTCCGTGACTCACTATGTCATAACACACGTCCAGCAGTGATGGGGCGAGCGACATTGCAGCGCTCACACACACACACACACACACACAGGAAGGACCCGTCCGTCTAGCATTGTCGTCGTGCCCGTGTCATTCTCCTTCGCATTCCTCCCGGGTCGCTCCCCGACGGGTCCATATCACCCTCGCGCTCAGCGGAGGCCGAGCTGGCCGTGTTAGCATAGAGCCCCTCCCCTGTTGGCCGCTGTCCGCGTCCGTACAAACCATGAGGGGAAGAATTCCCTCCCCCCTCCCCCGCTTTCTTTTCATTTTCCCCCTGAATGGCACGCGCTTCAAAAGGGTTGTAATGAGGGTATAGAGCAATGTCTGAGCCCCCTGCTCCCGTCCCTCTCCCACACGAATGAATGAATAATCTCCGTTGAACCCCTACCTGTCCCCTGCCCTGCCACGTCACCGCGCATAGTCGGTGGAGGGTCCCGGGGAGGGTCCCGCTCCCCAGTCTAATCCCATTCCCGGCCAGTGTTTTCCTAAGCGCCTCAATGGACCCCGCCTCCCACGACAGGAAGGGCATCCACTCACCCTCGTCGTCTTGGTCCCGTCCTCCCCCTCCCTCCCCCTGCCCCCTTATCCCGCCAATGCTAAGAAATTTCATTTTCCAGTAAAGCACGCTCGGAAATTTTTTGATGAATCTCTTAATTTTTGCCTGAAAAGTTTCCATTTTTTCCAATTTTTCTGGGGACGTTCCAATTTTTTCCGATTTTTTCTGGAAAAGTTCCAAATTGTTTTCTGAAAGTAAAATTTTCGTATTTTGAAAGTGCCTTCTTACCTGCGTGAAGGGCAGCGGCTCGCTGGTGGCACCGCACGCGCCGCACACGCTCTGCTCGACCAGCGTCATGGCGAACTTCTGATGCGGGATGCAGTGGCGCGCCGAGCACATGTCCTCCGCCTCAGCCGACGCGATGTGGAAGTGGATGCGCAGCAGGATGTTCTCGAAGCACTCGGCCGCGTCGTCCATGAAGCCGAGCTGGAAGCGCTGCTGGTCGAAGAAGGACTCGGCGAGCGCGCGCCGCAGCGCGTCGGGCGGCAGCGCCGCCTCCTGGGAGAACTGCAGCTGCGCGAACAGCTCCTGGAACAAGGGAGGAAAACAAGGGCGTCAGGCTCCTTCTTCCTCAATTAGAGACGTGTCACAGAGCGCGCGCGCGTGTCGGGATTTCAGCAGCGGACACCCTGGCGGAACCTTCGTCTCCCTCTCTGTCTCTCTCGTTGGAGAGAAAGTGCGCGTGAGGTCACAAGCGCCACGAGAGCAGCGGGGCCGAGGGCGCCCCCAGGTGACGCGGCGCGGTGACGCACTTGGTCGTCACACACGAGTGTGTCGCCATCAAGGCATGCGGTAGAGGCCCTTGGGGCCGTGCAGTAAAGAGAACGAACAGAACACCTTTGTTAGTCACGGGGCGGCCCGGGCCGGGTGGCGGGGAGGACGCGGCCGACGTGGAGCGCGCCGGGCGGCGGGGCGCCCGTGGGGTAGGCAACCCATCCGACGGGCGCGCGCAGCGGGCGGGCCTAACCGACAGGCGGCCGAGGGAGCGAACGAAAGCGCCGCCGTCCGGCTGCCGTGTTCAGACCGAACATGCCCGCTGTGTGTGTGTGTGTGTGTGTGTGTGTGTGTGTGTGCGCGCGCGCGCTTGTGTGCGTTTGTGATTGTGTGTCCATGTAGCGGCCCGCACCTTTAGCTCGGCCGCCGCGACCACACAAACGTTACACATGAACGGCGCGCCCCACGTCACAAAACGTGTGTGGTGCTGCTATACACAGGAGCAAGAGGGGGAGAGAGAGAGAGAGAGAGAGAGAGAGAGAGAGAGAAAGAAAGAGTTACGGTCGTTCATACAGTCACTCTCCTCCTGCGGGCATTATGTCGAGCGCCCACACACTCGCCGGGGGTCGCCGCAGCAGCCGCCGCCGCGTCGCACAGAGGCGCGAGGCGTGGCGCGGCGTGGCGCGGTCGTGTCGGTAGCAGCAGCGCGGACCACCCGCGCGCCGTCTACGGCAGCCGACGGCCACGTCCAGCACCACGGAGCCGCCGCCGCACTGCTTGACGTGGTGCCGACGCCGAGCGCGCGCGGCCGCGTCCGCGTCACTCGTGTGTGACACGCGGGCCCCGTTAGTTAGTCGTCGTCGCGAGCCCTGCGCCGCCGCCGTCCTGCTCCTCCTCCCAAACTACAGCCTATTATTAAAATGACGGCCGCAGGCTGTACGCCGTCCGGCCGGCCGTGATTGTTGTAAACATTATTACAGTAAATATTGTAATAATGACGGCGGGCGGGGAATGCTGGGATGCGGCGGACTACAAGTAAGTGCGTCTACTACGAGCGTCCGCCGCCGGCCCACCACCACGGACATGCACCTCGTCGTCACATGGGCGATCAGAGGGGGGCATGTGGTGTGGCGTTCAGCAGGAGCACAAAATGGATTTCTCTTTTTCCGGCCTCCTCCTGACGCCGTCGTACGGGGCCGAGCGAGCCGGACAAGGCGCGGCGGGGCG